CACGTGGACTGAGGCGCCCGGCCCGGCGCGTCAGTCGCGCAGCCGGCGGTACAGCGTGTTGGGCTCGGGCTGCAGGGGCAAGGGCGCGCCGGCGGGCAGGTCCACGACCCGAACGCCCCGCGGCACGGCCGGGGCCGCCGTGGTGGTGTCGGCCCCCAGGGTCGGCTGCCCACGCAGTTCGAGCACACGGGTGTCGCCCACCTGACGGGCCACCAGCGCCACCGGCACGGCAGAGAGCGACGCGGTGGCCGCCTCCTCGCGCCCCGCGAGCATCAGCACATTGCCGTTCTGGACGATCTTCGCCCCGGCCGGCGCGGCTGCGGTCGCGACGCGAGCGGCCGAGGTGGCCGTAGCACCGTCATCGCCCGGCAAGCGCTTGACCGACGAGCCGTCAGGCAGACGCACGACCTGGACGCCTGCCGGGTCAGGCAGGGACCGGGTTGCCAGGGGAACCGGCGACGGCAACACCATCTGCGCGGCGCACAGGCCCGGCAAGACGGCCGCGGCCATCAGCGCGCCCAGCCCCGCGACGCGGCGACAGGGAATGGTTCTCATGCCCCCCTCCTCACGGCGTGATGGTGTGCCCGGTCACGGTGGCCCGGCAGCTCGGGCGGACCGTGAAATCGGTGTGGAAGATGTTCAGGGAGATGGCGCCGGAGCCATCGGCATTGAAGGCGTTGGCGTCGGAGTAGGCCTTGAGCGTCGTGTTGCTCATCCAGACGGCGCCGCCAAAGCTCCCCGGCCCGGTGCGCACCAGCGGCGCCAGACCGAAGCTGAAGCCCGTCGACGAAGTACTCGAGGTCATCTTCAGGACCGACAGATAGGCCTGCGGAAAACTGTCCGACACAGAGGGTGACGAGCACACCACGTTCACGTTCTCGATCACATAGCGCTTGCCGGGCGGGGTGGGCAGATTGATGAAATTGTTCTGGAAGTTCAGGTCGATCTGCATGAAACCGTTCTCGATGTAGGGAAAGCGGTCCGGGTTCTCGACATCACGCATCGGCGTGGAGTACTGGGCGAAGGCCGTCAGTGGGAGCAAGCAGGCGGCCAGGAGGGCCCGGCGGGCGAAGAAGCGCGTGACGTTCATGACAAGGGTCTCCACAGGTTGAAGCACGGGGACGAAAGGGGCAGCGCCGGTTCAGCGCCGCGCACCGG